CCCTCCGGGGCCCTCCTCCAGGAGCCCGGCCAGCGCTGCGAGGCGGTCAGCAGCCCCCCGCCGCCTCCCTGTGCCCAGAACCCCCTGCACCCCAGCCCGTCCCACTCCGCGTGCAAAGAGCCCGTCGTCTACCCCTGGATGCGCAAAGTTCACGTGAGCACGGGTGAGTGCGTGGGCACCCCTTCCCCCTCCCATCCCGGGCGCTTTACACTGAAGGGACCTCCGAGGCTTGGGGGGGCGGGGGGAGGGTGGAGTTGGGGGAAGCCAATTGTCCCCGCCGTAAACTCGCCATTGCGGGAGATTTACGGTCGCCTGTTTTCAGAGCCACATAATTACATCCCCCATAAATTTTTATGGCCTGGTGGGCCCCGCGCCTTTGAAGTCGCTTCCCCATCCTCTTCCCCATTCTCACCAGCGAGTTTTTCGTCAGGGAATAGCTGTCTCACTTAGGGAAGTTGAAAGTTGGGGAGGGTGGGGGTCTGGGGACTTGGAGGAAGGGGGAGGAGGATGTGTGTTTCAGCAGAGAGCTGCGTCAACTCCCAGTATTTATATTCCCCCCCCCTCCTTTCCCTCTAGTCTGGCTCCTTGGCCCGGGAAGTAGGCAAAAGTTGTTGTTGTGTTTTAGGTAGGACAGACCTCACTGGAATCGAACAGCAAGGGTGGGAACTAAACAGAAGAAGGAAGCTTTAAGGAAGCCCCCTCCTTCCCCCACCCCTCCCATTCTTCCATCCTGGGGCCTCAGGCCAAGGGAGGCGCGGATGGTTAAAAGCGGGTGAAGCATCTTCACCTCTCCCAGACCGCGCAGACAACACCCCCGCCCCCCCACCAACACACACACACAACTTTGAGATCGCTTTCTCTTCTTGGGGCCCTCTTTCTTCCTTCTCCTTCTCCCCCCGTCCCCCCCCAACTTGAGGAAGAGGAGGTGCAAGGGCCGGGGAGGGAGTCACAGTGTGGTTTGCTTGAAGAAAGGGTTCTCCCTCCTCCTCCCTTTCGGGGCAATAAAACTTTCTCTTTCTCCCTCTCTCTGTGTGTGTCCAGTAAATCCCAATTACGCCGGCGGGGAGCCCAAGCGCTCGCGGACCGCTTACACTCGCCAGCAAGTCCTGGAGCTGGAGAAGGAATTCCACTACAACCGCTACCTGACCCGGCGCCGACGGGTCGAGATCGCGCACGCGCTCTGCCTGTCCGAGCGCCAGATCAAGATCTGGTTCCAGAACCGGCGCATGAAGTGGAAAAAAGACCATAAGTTGCCCAACACCAAGATCCGCTCGGGCGGCGCGCCTGGCGCAGCTGGAGGGCCCCCCG